GTGTGTGTGTGTGTGTGTCTGAGGAATATTAGGACTTTAAGGAATTTCACGACTCACAGTTGCAATATTCCCCAAACAAATACTGAGCAAAATAATCAAGATCAAACAACGACATCACTGTGAATCTGTTGTAAATGATGTTTTTGGGAATATAAAATATTTTTGTGCTTTACATTGTAAATATTTTATTATTTGAGCTTTTTGGATGCCTGTTATATAAAGCCAGAATGTTCAGTTTGCTGTTTTAAACTGTTTTTCTTCCATGTAGAGTTTAGCTTCTTTCTTTTCTTTTTTTTTTTTCCCGTTTGGTTTCTGTGTTGTTGAAGTTTTGGAAAACTAGAAAATGCCTGAATTAGCACTTGTTTATTAATGTGTGTATGTGTGATGATTGATTATTATTTGACACCGAAAGACACTTTCATTAGTTCATGTCACATAGGACATGATTTGTGTTTGTATAATTTGCTTTAAATGAGTTTCTCTCATTCTCTCAATGAGTTTCTTTAAATTTAGTTTGTTTAAAGACATATAGGTTTATGTGACTAATTAGAGCTGACGTGTTATGTTTCAGTGGATTTTAGGATGTATCTTGGTCTTCCAACTTTTTTGGATGCAGTTTATTTGTTCCTCTTTTAGTTCTAATAGTTTTCTTATTATCCTTACTATATAGTTTGACCCCCGACATTTGACTGATCCACTAGAATTAAAGTGCTTCTCAATGTGTTCTGCTCATTTGTCCACAGCAGAACAATTCTAACGCGTGAAACTCTATTGCTTAAAGTGTGTGTGTGTGAGAGAGTCTGGTTTTGGAATGTTTCTGTATTTGAGATGGTGTGAATCTGGACTGTTAATAAACAGTTTAAAGCTGCAGTGTTGAGTATTTTCACAGACCTGTAATCAAAAGGAGTCTGAAATGCATATATATTGGCCTGTATTTGACATTTTACATTTCAAAAGTCAGTGAGGTGCTTTAAAGTCTCTTATACTTACCAGTGCGGCATTTATTTTATGTAGAATACGTAAAAACAGTATTGTGAATGATCATTACAGTGTAAAAGAACTGGTTTCTATTGTAAAAGATTTTAAATGTAATCTATTCCTGTGATGCAAAGCTGATTTTTCGGCAGCCATTAATCCAGTCTTTAGTATCACATGATCCTTCAGAAATCATTCTAATACGCTGACTCTGTGCTAAGGAAACTTTGCTGTGCTGCTTAATATTTTTCTTAAAACCATGGTAATTTTTTCACGGTTCTTTGATAAATAGAAAACTCAAACGAACAGCATTTATTTAAAATAGAATTATTTCTTGTAACAATGTGAAAGTCTTAATTCAACGGACTCTTGCTAAATAAAAATATGAATTTTTTCAAAACCCTTTGAACAGTTTAGTGTACAGTGGCCCAAAGAAGTATTTGGACAATAAATGTATGAAAAGAAAAAAAATCATATTTATTTTAAAGAAAGCACAAGCATTAATTTACAAGTAAAACAAAATATAATACAAAAACATAGGGCTCTTTTAACAAAATGAGAATAATGTCTGAGAAAAGGATTGATATTGCAGCATGGTTTGATATTTTAATGCAATAAAATTCACACAGTATGATTTTATTGTGTCAAATTACTTTTTGTTGGCTACTATAAAATGTGTGTGAGATTTAGTTGTGAAGCCTCAAACACAGTGATTCTCAACCAGGGGTCTGGGGCTCATTAAAGGGCCTTGACAAACCTCCAGAGCCCCAATACATCTTACAATTATTGAGCTATTTTTACATAATCTTAATTAAAATTATTATTGTTTCTTTTCTTTTATTCCAGTATCAGCTTAGATAGGATGGGCAAAGAGTGGCCTTGGAATCAAAATGGTTGAGAACCATTGCTCTAACATGTAAGTAATATTCACAGCATGCATGCACATTAGAAAATATTGATTTTGTATCTGTAGAGGGCAGTATTTTTTAAGTTTTCTCTTCACGACATATGGCCTTAGATAAGCTCTCTCTGTCAGGGCCTCTTCAGTGAGCTTCACTGCACAAATTTGTTTAAGAGCTTATTTGTGTGTTGAACAGGCTGGAATCCACACAATGAATTTAAGACCTCTGAAAAATCTATGCCAGAAATATGTAATGGGGAAAAATTGGACACAACCAGTTCATTGTACATTTATTATATCCTATAATTAACATAAAAGTTGCCACTTAAACTGAATGGATGTTGTCGATACACCACACAACCAAATCTTTTTTTTTGAGGGGGGGGCTTCAGTTTGAAGTGCTGTGGTTCATGGATGTTCAGGGATTCTCCAAGCGCAGTGTATATGTTTATCAGGGCTGGGTGGTGTACACTCACTGATCCAGAACTAACATCTGGAAACTTCTTTCTCTGTTCTTGTCTCATACACACACTTTCACTCTTCCAGAAAACACAGCTGCTACTGCTGGAAACTTCACACACTCTGAACGGGTTTCACATCTTCTGTGCATCTGGTACTTGTTTAAGCTGGAATGCACACATGCATTCTGATTCTGATGTTTGGAGATTTCTGTCCTTCATAATTCACACAAAAACTACTTACAGTTATTTTATAATATTGGCAGTTTGATCAGTACTATTTAAATAATAAGTAATCAGTAATTTCTTAAACTTTACAGTTTGGCTTAATTGTCTTAAGTTTGAAAAATAGTGTTAGTTAGTATCTTTTTTTTTAGATCATCACAGATAATTTTGGCCCATCCAATGTATTTTTGGCTATTGCTACAAATACGTGCTACTTCTGACTGGTTTTGTGGTCCAGGCCAGGGTCACAAATATATAATTACAAAGCAACTGAAATAGTATTTTCTTGTAAAACGATAGTTAAATGTTCATACGATTGAGATTCTTTGTCCAGTTTCGGGCATATATGTGAATTCACTAATACACAACATTACATGGAAGTATCTTGTTTGTTTACCCTGTCAGTTTGTATTGTGAATGTTGTTCAATGATGATGAAATTCAAAAGAGGTATTCATTGTCAGATGCACGTACACACATAGCTGGAGGCTGCATTTGCCATTAACTTGTGCCTATAGTTGCATAACCAATGACATTGTCTGATATTGAAACTCTCTTACACACACAAAAGAAGAGCTCTCTGTGTCTGATATCCTTCTCTCCTGTCTTCAGGGATATGCTAACCTCCTTTTCAGATGCTCTACTTTTATTATGTTGCTCCACACTTTTTAAGCATTCACATACATGATGTAAAATAGTTTTTTTCTTATTGGAAGGTGCAAGAAGTATAAAGTTTCTTTCAATGTGACTGTGAAACCAAACTCTTCCCTGCACAGTCAGTGATGGCCTCGGATAATGTTACTACGTCTACAAAATATAAAGTGCTCATGTTGACACAACATACTGCTGTTTTTCACTGATACAAATGGTGCATATAATCTGCCACAGTCGAGACACTGATCTCAGTATTGTGAAAATAAAATGGCATTACAGCCGGATCAGGCTGACTGCAGTTTTGAATTACATCATAGTGTTGCATTACAATTTAGCAGTGAGAGATGAGAATGTACCATTAGAATGTACCATTTTTCTTATATCATTCAAAAGTTTGGCATCAGCATTTTTTTTTAAAGAAATAAATACTTTGATGTAGCAAGGATGCATTAAATTGGTCAAAAGTGACAGTTACGGCATTTTGTTTCAAAAGAACATCCTTCAAAAGTATCCTAATAATCACAGTTTGACAGCACAGCACAACTGTTTTCAACATTGATAATAATAAGTTGATATATGTTTCTTAAGCATCAAATCAGCTTATTAGAATAAATTCTGAAGGATCACGTGACACTGGACTAGTGGCTGCTGAAAATTCAGCTCTGAATAAATTACATTTTAAAATATATGAAAAGAAAAATATATCAACAAAAAAGTATGGGAATTAATATAATTAAGTTATTTTTTTATATTGAAGACAAAACTCTGAATCTAATAAGTTTTATGTGATGAGAATTTTTTATTGAATTTGTTACAACATGTTCTGGGAAAAAATATAGCAGCAAAAATGTAGTTACAGCAGAAAAATGAATGCTTTTCCAGTCTGTGAAACTGATTATACCATTAAGAAGGTTTATCACAAAGATAAAAACTAAGACACTAAATGTAGATCTCAGGCTAAACTTAAGGCATCAGAGAGAATCATGTATGTTGTTTACAGGGAAGGTTCTCGTTCTGAGCTGACTGTCATTAAAGGTAATTACTGTAATTCTCAGCACGCATCGCTGCTGCACAGAGCAACACGACTGCCCAAAGACATCATGGGACTCTGAAGGAAGGGAAATAAGTATTATTTTAGTCGCTGCATCAGAGTCCATGTTCCTTTTGCTTTTAGCATCGCAATCTATATTCAAAACCAAACCTGCTCTGCAGTTCTGTGTGTGAAACTAGAGATTTGCAGAAGGACAGTGATTTGAGCAGCAGGTGCAGAAGTCACAATGTTCCTGGTTGGAATGTGCTTGTCTGATTTATTTTCCCATGAGCCTGGGCCTCCTAAAAACACACATTTTCAGACGCCAGAGCATGACTGAAACATGTGCCCACTCAATCTCTCACATACACAACCATTTGAATGACAATCAAAAATGGCTCA